TTTGGACGTAGGTGCATGGTATCTATTGTTTTCCTTTGTAACTTTTCAATTATGATTAAGTATTTTTTAAGAGTAGCAAAATTTATTGAAGATCTAAAATTATAACACTAATTTGAGTTTATAGCACTTTGATATCAATAACATGCAAAAGCTTCACGTTTTAACAGCTCTAACTCCAACTCTTTCAGTTAATGATGTGACAAAATGATGTCAATGTATGTAATTGGAACAAATACATAAATTAATATCCTTCTTATCTTCAATTGTATAGATAACAAAATATAGTGCCAAAGCCAAAGTTGCAATAATGCCAGTTATAGGCTGTCTCGGTTACTTTTTCCTCATTGCTGGGACAAAATACCTGACACTCAAAATGAAGGAAGGAAAGGTTTATTTAGCTCACAGTTTGTGCAGATTTCAGTCTATACTCGGCTGGCTCCCAGGCAGAGGGGCACATGGCAGAGAGCAGCAGTTCGTGGCAGCAGAAAACAGCTAAGAGCAAAGAGAAGAGCAGCAGCTGTGGCTTCTAGCCAGCCTTTGTTTCTCTCCTGCTTATGTTGTAAATAAGCTACCTGGGCTGGAGGTGTAGAACTCACACAATGTCCATGCCCCCCTCATGCACAGGATGAGGATATTTACAATCTAAGAATCCTGGCTCCCACGGAGTCACTTAATTAAAGTTCTAAACTTCTCAAGTTGACACAATGTATCAACCAGTAAGTACATAGGATAAAAACGTTTTTTAATGTATTAGTCTCTTAAATAATATAAAAGACTAAAAAGGAGTTACAAACATTTTTCCACTAGTAATAGTTTTGCCTATGTACTCATCTTTATTGTAATCTTCATTTCTTCACCTAAATCATTGTTTAGGGTTCTTTCATTTCTACTTGCAGTGATCCCTTTAGCATTTCTTCCAGGTTGCATCTACTGGCAAGGAATTCTTAATATGTAATACACGTTGTAACCACAGAATACAGAATTACAGAATACACACACAAAAAAGAAGTGGAGATAGGGATTAAAATGTTTTGCTCCAAAAAATCAGTAATATACAAAAGAAAATAGTAATTCAGGAAGTAAGGGACAAAAAATAGCTATCAGGACTGGGGATATAGCTCAGTAGCATAAGCCCCTGTTGGCAAGCACAAGGTCCTGAGTTCTACCCCTGGTATTGCAAAAAAATAAAAAGAAAAAAAATTATAAATAAAATAAAAAAGCTATCAGACATAATGAAAACAGCAATAAACTGCTATGTCATCTGTTGCCTCCTACTCTTCCCTCCTCTAAGAGTCCTCCTACATATTCATTTTTCTCTTCAGATTTTTGTTTCTTGAGTTTTATATATAAAATGTTATATAAATTTCATGCAAAAATTTAAAAAATTGCAAGCTGCAGCATCAATATATTTTTATTTGTATATGTAGCCAAGACTTGCCTTCGAGTAGTGACAATCTGTCTGCCTCAGCCTCCCAAGTCCTAGGATTACAGATATACACCACCATGCCTGGGTCAGTAGCTTTCAAAAGATTGATATCATACAAAGTGCCATTTCTAATCACAACATGGTAAAAATCAGTAATAGTAGGAAATGTTGGATGCTTTACAAACTTGTGGAACTTTTTGTTTTTGTATTTTAGGGAAGTGTCTACAGGGTGTTCAGGGTCTCACTACTAGATTGGACTCTTTTGATCAGTCTGTTTACAGCCTCCCAAGAGCTGGGATTATAGGCGTGTGCCACCACGCCCAGTCTCAGTTGCCCTCTCAGTGTGCTCCAGGGGTGGGGCCGGCACAGCAGAAACTTGTGGAAATTAAACAACACATTCTTTTAAAAATAGTTTTTACTTTATAACCCTCAAAACTTTATAATCAAATAATAAGAGAAGAATAATAGTTATTACATTGTGTATTACTGTCTTTAAAGTGATCTGTAATGGGTCAACTCACGTTTTAGATTATAAATATAAATCTTGTGCTTTCTGTTGTAAATGTATACTCACCACTGTTCCAAGTTATTTAGTAAATAGTGGCTGTTACTTGCTGTTTGCTAGATAAAATTCCTACCTAACCAATCCCTGTAAACAAAGTTAGATTACAGAGATGACTTCAAAAGGAAACTAAATGGGATTTAACTCCTTTAACCTTGGGCTATGCAAGACTGCCTGCAGGTACTTACTCAGGTGCAAGATAACCAGAAACTAAAACAAAGCCCCAGGAAATTTAGTTTGGGTAGTGGTCACAATGACTCTGAAAGCATTGTTTTGTGTCAATGAATTTGTTTACCAAACAAATGTGGTTTCATGTTTTAAAAGCTCCCTGCTTCCTGGGCTAGCTGCCTTTCAGTCCTCTCCTGCATGAGAGCAGACCAGGGGCCCTGAGCTCAGTAATAAATGGCTTTTCAAATTCCAATCTGTCTGATCTGGTTCCTATTCTGAGTGAGCCCGAGGTTACAAGAAGTTAAATCCCATTTAGTTTCCTTTTGAAGTCATCTCTGTAATCTAACTTTGTTTACAGGGATTGGTTAGGTAGGAATTTTATCTAGCAAACAGCAAGTAACAGCCACTATTTACTAAACAACTTAGAACAGTGGTGAGTATACATTTACAACAGAAAGCACAAGATTTATATTTATAATCTAAAACGTGAGTTGACCCATTACATGATCCAGAGTACAACACATAAAGCAAAAAGATCCTTATAAAAGAGAAACAGATAAAAACACTAATCTTTCTTTTCAACAAACTTAGATAAGCTAGTAGTATAAATGAAATCAATCAGCAAATGTATTGAAATATTTTTAAAACAATGGATTTGTAATTTGGGGAAGTTTTTGAGCTTCTCGCTATTTCTTATTTATCTCTCATATTTTGTTCTTTATTTGTGCTTCTTGTATAAATAAAAGTACGCAAAATTTGAAGAAAATATTGGAAAAAAGAGTGGGGACTAGGAATAGCTCCTGAGAGATAGGGGAGGTCTTGAATAGGTTGCCAATTATGGTTACTTTTTATTAAAAAATTTTTATAAGTACATGTTTGGAGTACATGATGATTGAATTCATTGTGGTACATGTACACAAGACACCTTACTTTATTTCTACACTCCCCGTTTCTTTTTTTTTAGTTTTATTTATTTATTTATGTGTGTGTGTGTTTGTGTGTGTGTGTGTGTGTGGCCAGCTCAGCCCACCAGGGGGCGGGGCTGGCTGGCATGTGGTGCTGGGGGATTGAACATCGGTCCCTGTGCTTTGCGAAGCTTGTTCTAAGTAGGTGCTTTAGACCACTGAGCCATCTCTCCAGCCCCAACTCCCCGTTTCTTCTATTTCTGGCTCTTGGTCCCCTTCCTACTTTCAAAAAGATTTATCTCCCTGTTTTTTCTTAATTTTTTTTTTTTTTTGAGACAAGGCCTCCATGTAGTTCAGTTCAGGCTGGCTTTGAACTCAATATGTAACCCAGGCTGGCCTGAAACTTTCAGTTGTTCTCTTTCCTCAGCCTCTGGAGTGCTGGGAGTGCAGGTGTGCACCATCATGCCTGGCACTTTTACTGTCAAAATACACAAGAAGGAAATTAGTTCTGAAAAACTGATAGCTGTTCTCAGAGTGCTTCTCAAACTTTAATACACATATAAATAACTGGGGGATTCTTAAAGTTATGTTTGGAATTTGGTACTCTGGTGGGAGCACTGACAGTTTCAATTTCTTTAATTTTTTTTTTTTTTTTTTTTTTTGCAGAACTGGGGATTGAACTCAGGCCCTTGCGCTTGCTAGGGAAGCACTTATTCCACTAAGCCATCTCCCCAGCACCTAATTTTTTTTAAATTTTTTTGACAGTTTCAATTTCTAACAGTATCACAGGTAATGCAAATCCTGCTCCTCTGCAAAACACTTTTTTTGTCTTTTTGAGACAGTGAGCTGAGACTGGCCTTGAGCTCATTTTGTAGCCCAGGCTGGTCTCAAATTCTCAGTGATTCTCCTGTCTCATCCAAGGGCTAGGATTACAGGTGTGTGCCACCACATCCAGCTAAACACACTTTTTACAGCAGGATTTTAAGAAATAAAACAATGTGAATAGAAGTGACAAAAATCTGGGGTATTGGCTTCTTTAGATAAATACTATTGTAATCATATGATATTTGAGTTAGAGACTCAAGCGGCAAGAAAACATTTGTCATGTGCAAATCTACAGGAAAGATGTTCAGGATAGAGGGAAAAGCAAGGGCATGAGCCCAGAAGAAAGAACAAATTCCAGCATTTCCTTGAAATAGAAAGGTCACTATGGCCTTTTAAGTACACCAATGTTCCTCCCAAACTTAGGTATAATTTCATGAAAAGAGCACCGAAAAGGTTTGGAAACCTGGGTTGTTTCCATCCCAACAGCACATTAGCTCTGTTTTTCATCAAGCCACAACCTCTCTTAGTGTTTCCTCATAAATCTGGGAATGTTCACAAATGACACCTATTGTACAGGGTTGGAATGAGGATTACATAAGATTGGATATGTAAGAAGCACTTTTCAAATTGCAAAATATTACCTACAGTCACATAGAACTATTGCATACACCAAGGGCTCCTATGTGATCTGTGATACCAGTAGCTATTCAGGGCAGTTCTCTGTCTCTTTAATTACATCTGGCGGTTCTAGGAAAAGAGCAAAAGGCACCGCTACTTCGTTATTCTAAGTTGTGTAAGAAAAACAAAGTCCAGTCCCCGGGGGTTAAAAAGAAGGTATTTAAAAGACTCCAATCATCAGATACGAGCGATTTCCGGTGTGTGTGTGTGTGTGTGTGTGTGTGTGTGTGTGTGTGTGTGTGTGTGTGTG